GCAGAAAAAGGCTCCAGGTTATTATTCAGTGCGCATTGCGAGGAGGCGTCAGTATTCACGGTCCAATCAGATAGGACGGAAAATCGATAATTATTGACGCATTGTCAAGCCACGGCGTGGGACTTTGCGCGGCAGCTGCGCTGAGAGCCTAAGCGTTGTTGGCAAATCATGGGACCCTGCCTTCCCAACAAAAATAACATAAATAAATAAAATATTAAAATCCCCATGTACCCAGACTTTGTGGACACCCTGTAGATTGATACATGGTGCCGAACCTGGTAAAGCCCATGGGTCGGAACATTTTCAAGTTCGCTCATGGTCGGAATGTAACCTATTATCTAAACTCAAACTGCCATGCGCAAGGCACCCTAAATGAGCAAAACCTCGAAAAATCCACACCGCAGAGGCCTCATATGGAGAAACAAATTACCGTTTGATAAACCCAGCCAACGGAGAAGGCAGTAATAAATGATAATCACGGAAAGCTTCTGTCTATGGGACAGCAGAGAATTCGCGAATACATTGTAACTGGATCGTAGGAAGCATCTTACTGTTGTCCTCCCAAGTTCCACAACAATTATTCTTTTCGACAATTGAGAAAAAAAATACGACAAAAGACATCCCTCAGGATAAATGGCTGCCAATTTGATAAAGTAAGCGGATGCGAATATCTCAGGAGGAACTGCTACCGAAGGGACAGAGCAGGAATGACATTATCTTCCGAATTGCTGCTGTGCCCTGAGTTTTATAGATATTCAGATAGTATATATGGACCCGACGTGAAATCTTCATTGTTAAAGATATTAGCGTCTCCATGTATCCATCCGGATCTTCATCCTATGAGGAAAATAAGCAAAACCTGGAGAGGGATTGAACACCGCTGTCTGAGAACCATCCTTTGGTCGAAATACACCGATTTCGCCTGAAAAGGGAACAGTTCGCACTCTCTATGGCATTACAATGAGGACTTATGTGGTTTGGCACATTCTTCGTCGTCTATCTTACAAGCTCTATGTTGCTATTCGCGATAATGTGCCGTAGCCCACCTGGAGACGTCAAAGAAGTCAACTCAAGTCCTGGTTC